ATATTCATTTTTAAAATATTTAAACTTACTTGACTTTCTGTTTCCCCCTTTCTCTTTTTAGCTCTGCTATTAAGAATGTAATATTTAAAATCTATGTATCCATCAGGTTTTTCATCAAGTGGTGATGGAACAGAAAGACCAAGTACTTCTGGTAACATAAAGGGTTTTAACCATGTTACAAATGTAGTACGACCTTTAGTATATATTCCATCGCGATGATAAAATAGTAAGCCATCTAAAGGATGCAAGTGTGAAACATTTGCTAATGCTGAATTTATATCAGTATTGCAATCGATATTAGGTAAAGGTAATATAGGATATGTATTTTTGTCTGTATTCTTTTCCTGTAGTTCTTCAATTTCTTGTAATCGCGATTGTAACCAGAAAAACCTAAACTCCGTCTAACAGAAAAAAAAATGTTTTTGCATTAGAATTATTACAACACATAAAAATTTAAGAATTACCATTACATTTGACAATAAAAACTTACATTACAATTCTTCAAACATTGGTTAGCCCATGCAAGTATATCCAAAACAAAATATGTTTTTTGTTGCTTTATCCATAAACAGTCAATAATAGTGCAACTACATTTGTATTCAGATGGGTTACCACCTGGAAGTGCTGAATAAAATTTACCAAGTCGATTACCCCGTTTATTATATGCTTTAGTTATACCCTACAAAGTAAATAAATGTAATAAAATTTAAAAAGTAGTTTTTTTAAACATACTTTACATGCAACTACTAAAGTTCTTTTTCCTTGAGGGCAAGGAACTATAATCCACTTGTCCAAAAAATCTTGAGGTACTTCTAGCATCCACTCAGACATCATTAATTGATTTACATAACTCTTATACTTTTTAGATGAATAATACTTCTTCTCATTTTCTTCAATTTCCATATCTCCTTCATATTCATCTTCTTCAGAATCAAATACTTCTTCTAATATTCCTCTTCTAGCATTAAATTCAATATCTCTACAACTAATAATTCATATTATTATTATTATTATTATCTTCATAATTTTTTATAAAACCTAATAATAAACTTATATGGCACACTTACCTTTTCTGCAATAGCAATGTCCGCTGACGTCGTGTTTCTTGAGGAGTAGTAAAGTTGTCTACATCCAAGGTATAATTACCTTTTCTAATAGGTTTTTTATAAAATATAGCACGTGGATAATTCTTTTCTTCTTCATTTATAGCTGTTGAGTTGTCTTTCACCTCAGCTGCCATAATTGTATACACTTGCTGCATGAAACTAAATTATACAAGGAGATAATAAATCTGTTTATTATAACGTCATATTGTTTCACAATAATAAAAACAATATTTTGTATATATTTCTACTTTCAATGTAGAATTTACTTTTAAGTTATGCGTTATTATTATTATCACATCTTTCTCTTTCAGCAATACAAAATTTTCACAAACCTTTTTAGAATATTTTTGTGATAGAATTAAATATATTATTTAACCTTAGAACGACATTATTGCATTTTCGGGGTTACGTGACACTATGGGATAGTCAGCGACCCAAAATAAAATCTAAATATTTTAAATATTATTGAATATTTCTATAAAATTCTTGTTCTATTCTTCTTTAGAAATCTTAAGAAAAGATAATTGCAGCATTTTTTTTTCGTTTAAAGAAAGGAAATCAAAATATAAAAGTTATTTTGAATTGTATCCTAAAAGGGTATTCGTTCCATATGCTCTCTTTATAATGATTTTGTGGATATTCTAATCACTATAATATAGTTTTTAATGGATAGAAAATATAATCTAGATCTTACCTAAGTAGCTTAGAGGAAAATTTTTGGAATTAGTAAGTCTTCGCGCGCGTTTGTCCTTTTCTTTCTTTCTTCCTAGGGCAAATTCACATCTAGTAATTGGCTTTTGCATAGTTTGTGGAAATTTTGGTATCTTAAACCCAAGTACACCAGCAACTAGTGAGCGTATTTCTCTGATTTTTGACATTTTAAAATTGTAATGTTGTATATTTTTACATTTTTAAAATAACTATACAAATTTTTAAAACATAATTCATCATTTGCTCTAAATATTTTAGCTGACTAAGGTACGGTTTCATTACGTTAAAAACAGCATGGGGTCGCCTGCCACTTAAAGGCTTATAAAACTAATGAAAATGTACACAAAATTCTTCTTTTTCTGTTATTTTATAAACTATGATAATTAGGAGGGTAAACAAACGCTCAATATTCTAATGTTTATTTATATTTTTGCAGACAAGATTAAAATTCGATAGAGTCGCCGGTGATCCCACTGGTGTCATTCTAGGGTTAATGATTTAATAAAACATGACCTTATACATTTTACTTTGTAAAAAAATACATACATAATAACATGCAAAGTGTCTTTACGCGTACACGCTGCATTCATTCACATATTATGTTAGTAGATTTTTTTTATATATATTTCGACCTTTCATTAACGTAACCAATAAGTATCTCCATCAACAGATTCTTCTACATTACATGATTGGCAACAGCTAACAGACATATTGTGAACAACTGCTACCAACATTTATTTTCTCAAAGATAAAATTACCTTCTCAAAGATATAGTTTCCGTAAGTTTACAATAAAGCTAACTAACAGGGAAAGTAACTCAAGATAGCCTAGTATTTGTTCTACTTTTGGTCTTCCTAAAGTAATGTCAAAGTAGTATTTTCGTATAATTTCTAAAGTATTTCTGTTAAAAATAAGTTAGAGGAAGATATTAATAAACTACAGAGAAATGGTAGTATTGTTCCAAACTTGTGTGCTGATTATACAAAAACTACATAAATCTTAAGCTAAGATTTTTAAAAGGATTGACATCTGTCATAAAATTGTTATATATGACAGGATATATATAGATTTTTTTACAGTTTAATCAATACATTTCTAATTTAAGATAATAATGGATGATCATCAATTAAATAACTTGATTAAGTGGTTAGATACATTTGATCTTCAAACTCCTCACTCAACAACAGAGGATATAAGCGATGGTGTTGCTTTAGCAGATGTCTTAGCTCAAATTGCTCCTGAATGGTTCACTGCTGCTTGGAGAGCAAAAATTAAAACTGATGTTAGTTCTAACTGGCGACTAAAAGTTAGTAACCTTAAAAAAATAGTTGAAGCTATAATGGAATATTACATAGAATGTTTGAATCAGCAATTATCAGGTTATGTTAAACCTGATGCAACTAAAATAGGTGAACATTGTGATAATTATGAATTACGTCGTTTATTACAATTAATTCTTGGATGTGCAGTTAATTGCAATCAGAAACAACAATATATAACAAGAATTATGGGAATGGAAGAAACTGTTCAACAAGCAATTATGCAAAATATTCAAGAGCTGGAAAGTAATATGCATGGACCAAGACTAAGTTTAGGTACTAGTCTTAATTTTGAATCTTTGGATGTAGCTGATGGTACTCAGCAAAGATTACTAGCTGAGCTTCAAATAACTGTTGATATGAAAGAACAATTAGCACAAAAATGTCATGAACTTGATCAACAGCTTTCACTTTTACAAGAAGAAAAAGCTGCATTGGTAGCAGAAAACAAAAAACTTCAAGAAAGATTAGATGAATTTGAAAATCCAGAAGAATCTGGTTCTATTTTAAAATATTCTGGTCTTAGAAAACAGGTGGAAGCATTGAAAGATGAAATATTTAAAGTAGAAACATCAAGAGATGATTACAGATTAAAAGGAGAACTATTAGAAAAGGAAGTATTGGAATTACAATCTAAGCAAGAAGACTTACAAAAAGCAGCAGATAAAGCTAATCATCTAAAAGATGAAATAGATGCATTAAAAGAAACTGCAGATAAAGTAGCTAAATATGAACTTACAATAGAATCATATAAAAAGAAAATGGAAGATATGAGTGATTTAAGAAGACAAGTTAAAATATTAGAAGATAAGAATTTAGAATATTTACAATCTAAAATAGATTATGAAGAAGAATCAAAACGGACTGCAATGTTACGAAATCATTTAGAAGTTTGCAAACAGCAACTTGCTGAAGCACATCATAAGTTAGATGAACAAACAAATAAATGTGATAAACTTGAATTTGAAGGTAAAAAAATGGAAGCAAAACTAAGCACTTTACAAAGAGAAAGAGATAGATTAATTGTAGAGAGAGATGCTTTAAAAGAAACAAATGAGGAGTTAAAATGTACACAATTACAAGCAGCAGAAAATATGGCAAAACCTAGTACTGATAGTACTGTTACAAACACAGAAAATATTCCTCTTGAAATTAAAGAAAAGTTATTGTCTTTACAACATGAAAATAAAATGTTAAAACTTAAACAAAAGGGAAATGAAGATAAATTACCAACATTTCAAGCACTATTAGAAGATTCAGAAGAAAGATTAAATACACTTAGAGATCAAAATCGTAAAGCTAATCAAAGAATAATTGAATTAGAAAACAGGTTGGAAGAAGCTTTAGGAAGTCAATCTAGTGGAGACAATAAAACTGATAATATCAATTTAGGGCAAAAAATAACACAGCTGCAAGATGAACTGAGGAAAATACAAGCAGAAAAGGAACGTTTAATTGTACAAGTTGAAGAACGCGAAAATGCATTGCAAGCTCAAAAACAAAAAGCTTTTGCTCTTCAAGAAAAGTTAACACGTCGAGAATACGATAATTCAGCACTTGAGGAACGTTATAAGAAATATGTGGAAAAAGCAAAAAGCGTTATTAAAAGTTTAGATCCTAAGCAAAATAATTCTTCTCCTAATGAAGTAGCGGTTTTACGGAATCAAATTTTGGAACAGCGTAAAATCATGGAAGATATGGAACGCTCGTTAAAAGAATCTAAATTAATTAAAGAAATGGAAGAAAAATTAATGATATCCGCATTTTATCGCTTAGGTTTAACTTGTCATAGAGAAGCAATAGATCAACGCCTTGCAGCTTTAAGTTCAGGTCAAGGACAATCCTTCTTAGCCAGACAAAGACAACCATCTGCAAGACGTCATCCACCTTATAATTCTAAATAACAACTAATAAATAATTGTTTATATTCCATAACTTTATTTTAATTAGATTTTAAACAAATAATAATTATATAAACACAAACAAATTACAATTATTTTTTAATAACTTTTTTTTTTATAAATGTACCATACAATTATAAATATACAACTTATTGTATATACTGTATATGTATATTATTTATCTTTATGCTTTTAAAGCATAATAACAAAGTATAATGTGTTTACAAAATATATGAACATCAAAATACAGTGATACCTTTGCATGTTTCTATTTTGAAGAACAACAGTAATATTAATGTGCCTGGTAATATTTATGTGATATGTTATATTTATTTAGTAAATATATACTTTATACTACTTCCAGCAAACTGAAGATTTTAATTTTGAATATTTTAAAACAAATGTTTTATTAATGAAAGACTATTAAATATAATGT